GAGGGAGGGAGGGAGGGAGGGACTCGCCAAGGCATTGTATTGCAGAGTTTGTCCCGGAGGGAAAAATTGAAGAAAGTCGACGCAAAAGGCCTGTATCCATTACAGCATCATGAGTAGGAGCTGTCACGTAGTCCCGCATCGAGTTCAGTTGTTGGATCCGGCACAAAACACGGCATCCAAACAAACATGCCTCACAAACTCAAGACAGTAGATTCACGAAAGCCAGTCGGTGTCAGTCAAAGCCAGTCACGCTTGGGACGGGGTTTCGACGCTTTGGGCTTGGGGGCTTTGCAGGCTTGAGAATGTGGATCATGAAATCATGGGTGGTGGGTTTACAAGGTTGCGGGCTTCAAAGGTATGGGGTGTGCGAGTTTCAAGAAATGTTCTCATCTGACTTCGGGTTCAAGAATTGTGCCCTAAACTCGAAGGTCTACACCGCCCAAAAGCCCCTAAACCCGGAGACTCTCACTAAACTCTCCAAGGGCCTGTAAATCTCAAAATCCAGAGAGAACCCAAATCTACGGAATCTACGGCGCTTGACTTTTCCAACATTAGATACGACGAGGGCATATTATAAATTAATCAGTGTGCAACCCCCAAAGTATCTAAGGAGGTGCTTTTTGCCCGAGCCTTGCTTCCTCAGCTGCTCCATCCTCGTTTTCTAGGGGTGCATCGCTGCAGAAAGGAGATGATATTTTGATTCGCACACCCACAGGGGGCAGGCACGGAGTCCAAGGGTTTTACGCTCTCGCAACTCGGACACTGCAAGAGATTCGGGGCTTCAGGATTTAGGTTCGGGAGTGTCGACTCTCGCAACTCGCTCAACGCAGGCAAGGCTTCACGACGACTGGTCCACACTGCCATTCTAGACCAGCCAGATGTGATCAGGCCTCTGTACACTGTCTCAAGACCCACGTAAAGCTAAGTTCCAAAAGAGCCACCGACAAATGCTCAAACCTAGAATCAAAGAGATGTGATGCTAGGAGTTTAGTTCATCGGATGCCATGAAAACACCACATCGACACACACACACACACAAAGCTTCCTTGAAAATTCCCCCTAAATCACCAAAACCTAGACGCAAGACAATCCAACAACCCCAACTCCTTTTGCTGACTGGGCTGAAGTCTAGCCGCGTCTAGCCAGTTCCCTGACCCTGGTTCGCGACCCCAACCCTTACATCCCTACTCCCTAGACCGAACCTGCCGTCCAACTATCAGAAACTCCAGGAGTCCCAACCCCTAAAGACCATGAACCGAAACCTGCATACCAAAGATCAGCCTCATGAAGTCCCCGAGCCGCAAAACCTAGAACCGGGCCCAGGCACTGCGCCGTCAGCACCTCGAGGTGCTGCCGATCCGACGCGTCGGGAGGCAGGGTGATGGGATCCACCTTGCAGATAGATGTGTGGGCGTTTTCCGGTTTTCTTGACAACAAATGTTTTGGACTGGCTTTCTGAACGATGTTTACTGTAGGGGCCTGGGAGCGTTGAGATCTTGTTTGCTCCTCGGGGCAGCAGGTGTGAAAAAGCCTGCGGCCGAACAACCCTAATTTGCATGGTTTGGGCTTTACGCTCTCACAACTCGGACATGCCAGGCGAGGATCCATAGTCGACAGTCGGTGAGTGTAACACAGTATGCAGACTCTCCACACCGGGACGATTCACACCATACGGGGGCATGAAGCCAACGATAGATCATGGTTTGGGCTTCGGGTTTCTGGTGTCGGGTCAAATTTTGGATTGCTTTTTCCGAGCGCAGGCTTCGGACTGAGACATGTTCTCAAGGATGAAACACAGAGAAAGAGAGAGAGAGAGACAGAGAGAGACGGAGAGAGAAAGAGAGAGAAAGAGAGAGAGAGAGAGAGACAGCGAGAGCTGGACAGACCGAGCTGGCATCCAAACTTGAGGGATGCAACTCCTGCAAGACCTCATCCCCAAACACCAGACACAAGCATGTCGAGTTAGCCCCCAAAACTTGTTTCAGACGAAGGCCCTGGCCGATACAGTCTTCAAGAACCTTCAGGCCTCCAAATCCCCAAAAGATGATCTGCGCAACATCCGAAACCCCTGTAAGCTTACGGCGCTATGCCTGGATCAGCTCTGGCTGTGGAATCTTTGCACCTCCCAGGTTCCCGAGCTTCTGCAAATTCAAAGACAACTTGACCGCTTTAGTATGTGTCTTACATGAAGGTACCACCAAAATGCGAGACCACATCTGCAGCAGGCCCCGATCAGGGACCGGTTCACTTCAGTCTTCAACCACAACTGGCCATGATAACAGAACCACATTAACATGCCGTACTCTAAGACTGTAGACCTTCACCGCTTATGCACAGCAACAGGGGCTAGAGGCTTACTCCAAACTCCTCAGCTTGTCGACAGGCGACTTCCCACGAGATCTGGCAGCTGCGCCGTGTTTGGGCTCTTTGACAGGGGGCCGACGTCGACTGCATGGTGCTGCTTCTTCTGCTCGTTCCAGCGCGCCTCACACACGGAGGGTTCCAAACTGTGGCGCCTTGATAAGGGTGATTGGAAGAAAGTGCGTAGTGTTAAGCAGGTGGCTCATGCTGGACAACTTACCCCCATTTTGTCTAGGTCTAGGTTTAAATTGAATGGAACTCTGTTTGCAAGCACATAGGCGCAAGCCAACACAATAGAGGATTCGTTTCGTCGACGTCGTACTAGTAGCACATGCACCAGCACCAGGTGTTGTTGGTGTTGGTGCTTCTGAATTCTGCTGCTGCAGCGGCACTGGTGGTGGTGGTGGTGGTGGTGGTGGTGGTGGTGGTGGTGGTGGTGGTGGGGGTGGTGGTGGGGGTGGGGGTGGGGGTGGGGGTGGGGGTGGGGGTGGTGGTGGGGGTGGTGGTCGGCTGGGATTGGTGGTGGTGGTGGTGGTGGTGGTGGTGGCGGTGGTGGTGGTG